GAGGGAGGGAGGGAGGGAGGGAGGGAGGGAGGGAGCACCACTGAACACCGGAACATGATTGCAAGCCTAAGACCCCACAGCACCAACATAGCTTTCAGGAACAGCGAAGATATGAACAGAAGCTCGGGGAAACGGAGCGAACCTAGGAGACAAATGGGAGGGGGGGAAAGGGGGGAACAGTAAAGAAGGGGCAAAGAGGAGAAAACAGCCGAGAGCGGATGCTTTGTAGCACATGAATGCCAAATGAACAGTCAGATGAGTAATGAGCCATTTTTTACATGAACGACAAAAACCTGCGACAGATGATTCTCAGCAACAATTGCCTGTCAAAAGAAGCAAACGCAACGTTTCAAGAGGAAGAACGAGAGCCGTTGTTGACTTACAAATACACTCACCCAAGCGAAACTGTTGTCTAAGTGGAGAACTCTTCTCCCAACTCTGTGTCATCTGTTCCCGCCAGCGAAGCACAAAAACAATCCAACCAGAGGCACAACTCTGCGACCGCCGCCCTGCAGGAAAATCGGAGGGACAACTCTGAAACCGCCGCCCCGCAGGAAAATCGGAGGGACAACTCAGCAAACGCCGCCCTGCAGGAAAATAAATATGAACCGATGAGAGAAGAAATTGCTCTCTGTTGTCTACACTGAGGGGCTGAAAACCTGGCAAATTTGGAATTTCCCAAGCCTGCAAAATGACCTGGCAGGCCTGACCAGCCAGCCACCACCAGCTGCCATGCAAGGATCGGAGATTCAAAGTACGAACCATCAAACTTCAGACCCCAGTTCGGACCTAAAGTTCCTGACGACCAAAAAAATATAACACGCTCTTTGTGCACCCAAGACAGCAGTCAATCCAATTCCGTGTGTGCAGGACAACTGAGACGATTCGGAATGAGCATAATGGGGGCGCCAGAACGAGACAAAGTCAAATGCTTGAAGCAGGAAACGTCAACGACCTGTAGAAGCAGCAAACCGCCGCCTTCTCAACACTGGAGACGGTGGTAACCTTCGAGGAACTCTCTGGGATCCTTCAACATCTTCTTTGCTTTCCAGTGCACACGAGCTGCTCCAGCGGCGTCTCCCACCTGCTCAAAAAATATCATCCAATTGGATTGCAAGAAGTGGAAGCACAACCCAGAGCGACAGGCGTGGAGGCGAGCACAACCCAGAGCGACATGCGTGGAGGCCAGCACAACCCAGAGCGACAAGCGTGGAGGCGAGCACAACCCAGAGCGACAGGCGTGGAGGCGAGCACAACCCAGAGCGGCAAGCGTGGAGGCGGGCACAACCCAGAGCGACAAGCGTGGAGGTGAGCACAACCCAGAGTGACAAGAGTGGAGGTGAGCACCACCCAGAGCGACAAGCGGTTAAGTCGGCACCAGAATGGATTAACGAGATTCCCACTGTCCCTATCTACCAGCCTGTGAAACTACAGCCAAGGGAAAAGAGAGGGAAAAAAGAAAAAAAGCTTTTAAAAACGATGGCATACTTACCCGCAACCCCAGCGAGAATGAATTATCTGACCTAGTACAGCCAGAGTGGGTGAAGCACACTCATAGGGAGAAGAACAGGCCGGCAGGGAGGTACGCCGGGAGGAGGATGGGCAGTTGAAGGGGGAGGTGGGAAAGCAAGGTAGATGGGAGGGGGGAGAGGGAAGAAGGGAGGGAAAGGCAGAGGGTACGCAGAATTGCAGTTGGACAGGCAGAAGGGTCGGCAGAATTGCAGAAAAGCCAGTAGAAGGATAACTGAGTAGGACTGCAGGTACACAAGCAGGAAGATATGCATGCAAAACGAAAAGCCAGAAAAGGAGAGACCTGCCAGATGGGCGGGCAAGCAGCCGAACAAGGCGGGGCCGGGAGTTTTTTTGGGGGGGAGCAGCAATGGTTAGGTTGGTGAGCCAGCCCAGGGGGTAGGCAAGCAGGCAGCACCAGGTGGGCAGCGTCAGATGGGCAGGAGGGTGGGTGAGCAGTGAGGGAGGCCAGCAGGCAGGCAGACAAACGAATGCACAAATGCGTGGACATGCAAACAGACAAGCAGTTACAGAAAGGGTGTGCGAGGACACGCTGGTTCTTCTTCTCCTGCTCTTCAAGGACAGTACAAGTATTCAGCACACACTAGATGACCTGGTGCGGCTTCGCTCGCAAAAACAAATACAAAAGAGGCAGGCGGACAAACTGGATCCTACCATGATCGATCACACGGAAATCCGGACCGTCGGGCCGGTAGGACCACCGCAGGTGGCCTGGATCGCCCAATTCTCACGTCAGTGATTTCTACAAGTGTCGGGATATCAAGCTGACCTACAAACGCCTCGTCACTACAAATTGACAAGATGTCATACATCATGGGATCTTCACGAGCGCTGACATAGATACAGAAGCCGACATCCTACGTCCTCATATCCCAAGGCTGTGGTAGGAGAGTTATCTGAACAGCACAGCCCAGACACAAACGGAATTCGAAAACAATGACCAGGTCGAGTTCGTAATTGATCACATTCGAACTTGTTTGTTTCTCATCTTAAAGTTTAAATGGACTTTTTGACTTTCGCTTTCCGAGTTATGCTCTCTGCCGTTTCCGTTTCCAATTTGCGGTGTAACAACTCGTCGGTTAAGCTCAGACAGGATTTGAACCGGTAACCTGGCCTGCTTGTATTCCTCTCGTTTTTTTGTGCTTCGTTGCGGAGCGGATTTGAACCTGGGGCATAACAGTGGAGCCTCTGTCATCTGACTGGAGACGCGTATGGCCTGCACTGTAGATTATTCAACCGTCTTCACCCGAATAGAACGCCCGGTCATTATAACCGTATTTGGGGCAACTTTCGGTCCAGATGCAGCGATAATGACCCGGCAGGCGTTCTATTCGGGTGAAGGCGGTAGGCCAGGACCCAGTAGGACCTGGTCAGCGCAGGCAAAAAAAAAAAAAAAAAAAGAAGACGACGACGAAAGTAGATTGTTCAACCGTCTTCGCCCGAATAGAACGCCCGGTCATTATAACCGTATTTGGGGCAACTTTCAGTCCAGATGCAGCGATAATGACCCGGCAGGCGTTCTATTCGGGTAAAGGCGGTAGGCCAGGACCCAGTAGGACCCGGTCCGCGCAGGCAAAAAAAATTAAAAAAGAAGACTTGATGAAAGTACCCAGGTGGTAGAAGTTTCCAGTTCAGGAGTCATTCGTACGGTTTTGCCTGACAGGAAGGAGTGGTGGCATTTTTAGCGCCTGAAGGAGAGAGAATCTCGGCGCAGCCATAGCCAGGGCTGAGGGATTCACTGACCTTCATCTTGTGCTTGCAGTAATCCAGCCAGATATCAGCATCGTGCTCGCCATAAAGAGAAGAAGCCATGTCAAATAGTCTATCAATGTGTGACGCGGCATTCACTTCACCAGCCCAATCTCCGTACGTCTCCATATCGATACAGTGCCGAAAGAGTGCCAGACCGGCACCTGGAAGCGCCAGCAACCTGACAACCGGCCAGAGAAATATCAGAGCACAAGTCTGGGGATCCATTGCAGAGAGACCCAAACATAAAAAAAAAGGGGAAATTCCGTTTGCACCCCAGCAACAAAGTCAAGGTATGATCGGACACAGTTGATCCTTCCAAAGGGCAGAAATAAATGCTCTCAAGATCTTAGTCCTCGCAGTCACAGCTACTTTTGGACAACATGGGAGGGCAGCAATCAATGCGGCTGTCTCAGGATCGCTCGCCCATAATGGGGATATGCGTTGAGTGAGTACATCTGATGAACGGGGATGCTGGACCCCGTTTCCAGCATTGTCAATTCAAAAGCCACTTTCTGCTTTCTTGCAAAACAGAAAAAAAGAAAAAAAGAAAAAATGGGAATTCCCACTACACCCAATCCCAGCGCCCAACTTGCATTCCTACCCAGACCCTGTCCAACTTACCGTACTACCCCACTTTTCCCCTGCACGAGATTACACTTTTACCCAGTCCCGCTGGCCTTCAGTCAAGGGCTACAAAATTATGCTCATGCCCGGAAACCGGGCTGACAAATGGTGGCTGTACCCACATTTGGAATACAGCCTATATATATCGTATATATATATTATATTATATATATATCGAGTCAAACAGAGCTGCCCGGTAAACCGTAGGCAGCGAGGGAGAAGAGGACAACAAACGAGGGGCTGTGGCAAACTGTTTGGTCGGAGTTTCACCGACTCATCAGGAGGCTGAACCCTCGTATACACACACACACACACACACACACACACACACACACAGAGAGAGAGAGAGAGAGAGAGAGAGAGAGAGAGAG